GAGAGGAAAAAAACGTTTGAGGAGGTCAGTATTTCGCTCACGATACAAATCTAATTCTTGTAAACTTGGCACAAGAAACTAAATCAGTTTCATTGGGTGATATCAATATTGGCCTTTTTGGTTTGACATCAACTGGTAAATCTACTATACTTAATTCTATTATTGGTCAAAAAGTTGCTGATACTGGTGTCCGTGAAACTACAACAAAACTAACACCATACAGTGTACCCAAATATACATTATGGGAAGCTCCTGGTCGAAATGATGAGATATCTTATTTGAGTATGGAATATATTTCGTTCTTTAAAGGTCTTTCACGACGTCTCATCGTTATTCAAAAAAGTGTGAAGGAAAATTCAAGTATCATGAAACTCTTAGATGAAATAGGATTACATTATGATATTGTTTTCAACAAATTTGACAAGTTTACAAGAATTTTCTTTGCTTCCGGGTCTCGTTTTTCCAGACCCTCAAATGAGGCGATCTCTTCACGTTCCAAGCGCTTACTGAGAGTAAAAAAACGTTTGAGGAGTTCAGTATTTCGCTCACGATACAAATCTAATTCTTCACGTAATCTGATGATTTTGGTCGAGTCTTCAAATCCTATGATCAAAGAATTTTTACGTATATTTATAAAGCCATAAATTTGTTCAATAAAAATTTTCTGTTTGCTCGAAAGAAGAATTTTATAGTTCATATATGCATTTGCGCTTAGGAATAAGTTTCTTTATCGAATCTTAGTGAAATAGAATAAGAAAATGATTAAGATATTTGTACTAGAATGAAATGGATCATATTGCCTTATCTATATTTTAGTTCTTGATGATGTAGCAAAACTCATTTTAAGTATCGAAAAAAGACAAACAGCTTTAAAAACTCTGATTCTCATTTATTAACTCAGTTTAATCCTACTTCTAAGTTTCCGATGTTTTTTCTAATGTAATGCTTGTACAGCAAATTAGCATATTGTATTTTACTCAACGCGTTCTTCTCACTGAGAAGAAGTCATTAAATTAACTGAACGTTTCGGAAATTATATTCTAAAAATTAACATTATAGTTGCCAGAAAGAGCAAATCGTTTGATTATCGTCCCGAGTGTAAGGAAATGATGTTTTGCCTTAAAACAGCTTTGACGGAAGTTCGTAATTCGAAAAACAAGAAGATCTGAAAAGTGTTGCTAGGAATTCGGAATGGAATGACCATTACTATATATGAAATATGTCCAGGAATGTCGATGAAAAAGGCAGACTGTTTCTAATTCAAATTACCAGAAGATTGTAACTGATTTTTTCCGATGCTCGTAACTGTTATGAGGACTTTTCTTTGTTATTTTTATAAGTGTGGGGTTCGGGTAGGATGTCCTTATTGTGTTTACAACCACACCTACACCTATACCCTAGTTGTAATTGCGTATTAAGAGTAGTATAGAAAAAAAAATATGTAGCTATTATACCAGAAATTATGAAATTCGATAAAAAGCAATGTTGTCTTTTTTTTTTATCGTAAGAATATTTCAATTGAGCTCATGAAACTACTTCTATGTGTATTTCAATCACATTGAATTATTCACAGTAAACAAGCATAGTCTACTAGTCTCTAGTGTCACGTGAACTTTCAATATGAATATGTATTCTGCAGTTAAATCAAAGTCATTTCACTCTCAACTAGTGGCATTGTTAATAAACAAAATTGGTTTATTTTGAAGTAAGTCATCGAACTTGACCTTTTTCACTGTGTTTTCACCATTCGATAACCTAGGTTAAGCGAGCATGGTCGTAAAAGGCCTTACATGAGCAAAGAAACGATCGTTTCAGATTCGCCTATATAACACCTATGTTGCTTCGTACACAATTACGGCGATACATGACCGTAACGCTTAAGCATATAAACAACTAAAATACGATCGGATGTAGATGTGAGTATGCTTTTTTGTTACCGTACACTCATACCAATGCCCTTACATTTTTTCCTTATAGATCTTGATTTGGCGTACATTTGCTTATTTATCGTTACATCATATTGTTATCGACAATTGACACAGCTATTTCGAAAGTGTAAACCGCAAATTTTGCTTACAACACGATGAAGAAAAATCACTTGTATAAAAATAAAATTACCTCCTATGAAATGCATCGAGTTTCGATATGGTATAGAATGAGTTGGAGTTAAACTATTGTTGATTTTTGTAATGTAGATTATCGTGATCTATGACAAAATAAATGTGGAAACCTCGGATTTAAATCCGAGTGTTATGTGTACTTTAAAAAGCGAAGAAATGATTCCTTAACCCAACAACTTTTGTTCAGAATTTTCCAAATCTGACTTCAGATTCGGATTCACCGACCCCGATTTACTTTCGTCAACCTTTATATAATATTCTTATTTTCTTAAAAAACACTTCCTTTGACCCAAAAAATGGAGTTCAAAATTTTCAAAATCTGACTTCAGATTCAGATTCCTCGAAGCCGATTTGCTGTCGCCAACCTTTATAAAATATCGCTATTTTCTCAAAAAACCCTTTCCTTGGCCCAAAAATTTGGGCTCAAATTTTTAATGCTTATATACCATTTTGTAGCTCGTGAAATTCTGCATCGAATGGTATATAATAGTTGGGGTTTTATTTTGAGTATGATAGGAAAAGTTTTTTTACGAAACCGTGGATGGGTCGATTTTCGCATAGGAAGCCATAGGAAAAAATGAGTATTTTTGCAATAACTCAGGAATGGTTCAGCCAATTCTTCTCATCTTCGAACTCGACCGAGACATTGTTGAGACTGAACTATGTAGAAAATTTCATCGCGATTAGACTCTCCTTTCAAAAGTTATCGTGTTAACGGCCGGACGGCCGGACATACTGACCGATTCTAGAGTGTACTCACTTTTTGAGTACACAAAAATGAGTTACTGTATCATCAACTGTATGAATACAGCTAGTTATCTGAAGAGCATGCTCATTTACGCGATGAACTCTTAAAACATCGGAATAGTATTCTAGAAAATTAGGCACTATCTCAGCTGATCAGTAAAAATGGTCACAATCAGTAATCGAGTTTGATATTGTTCGAAGGTTCAAAATCACATCATGTGTAAACAAGTAACCTAAACAACGCTGGTAGAGTATGAGTAGGTGATGGAATGTGGTGTGGGTGTAGGTTTTCTCTCTACTCACATTCCATCCACATCAATACACTGACACTCTTACCATGACTACAATCATAATTCTCAAATAAGACAAAAAGAACCACTCTTACCCTTTCTCTTATGCATGTAAACGCATTCAAACATAAAAACAGGCGAAAAATGGGTATTTTGGGGTCCCGATCGGGAATCGCAAACACGGATCGAGAGCATCCATTTTGTGCTGGTTTTTTGGCAGTTTTTTTCTGTTTTTAAACGTATTGTCGAAAATTTTTGTTTGTTTGGACTGTTTCCAAATTACTGCACAGTTTATCATTTCCATTGTTGATGTCTAAACTTAATTCTTTTGAAGAACGATTAGTTACACAAAAAAGACTTATACTTATGAATGTCCAATTATATTACTATGTTAAGAACCCTTAAAATTGATCGACAAAAAAACTGGATAACAGTTTTTACTTGTTCTTTTTGCATTTTTCAATTGAGCAGAAACATTTCAGAGAAAACCTTTACTGCTGTCGACAAACCTATTCTATCTTCTACCGATCTGCTTCTAGGAACATGTTATTGGGAGAAACAGTTTCGCAAGAAATTCGACTCTTTTCTGCGAAGCTGAATAAGAAGGGTCTTTTTATGTAGCAGCATTTTGCGATTATCAAATCTTGCTTGATGACGAAGACTGCAGGCAAAAACGCTATGCTTATAGGATTCGTAGAGTTTGACAAGCCGCATCAAATACCGTTTGAATGAACTGTATGATCTAGAAAAATTTCCGAAACCATTGAAGAGACGTATGACAAAAAACGCAAGAATATTATGTTTGGACAAGCCTATTAACATTTCACTCTCACTCCTGATCTGTACCCGACGACGATGGTTACTGAAAGAAATGACAAATGTAGTGCTACTTTAAATATATAATATCATACCTATTTGCGCCGAGAGCTTGATCTCTTGTGTTTGATTCTCGTCGCTTTCTGGTGATTCATGACACTCCTCTGCATTTTCATCTAGTTTTTCTGATTCGAAGTATTTCACTTCTTCCTCATTAGTTTGTGGTAATTGGTGATGTTGCTCTGGTGTTTCATCTAGTTCTTCTATTTTGTTATGTATAACTTCTTTCTCATTGCTTTGTAGTAATTCTTGATGTTGCTCCGTTTTCTCATCTAGTTGTTTGGATTTGCCGTGTTGCACTTCATTCTGATTAGTTTGTAATAATTCATGATTTTGCCCTAACTTTTGATCCAATTGTTGTGGTTTATCGCATTGCACTTTCCTCTCTTCGATTTCTAGTGACTTGTCATGTTGTATTAGCGATTCATCGATTTCTGGTAATAATCCATCGAGTAAACTTCCTATAAGAAACTCTTCTATTTGTTTAGGTGCATAGTTGTATGTTTGTTCAATAAATGCCATTTTCTGATTCCTATGAAAAAATGGATGAATGCTTCAGAAATAGCCTATTTTGATAGATGAAAGTTTCTCTGTATGATCTACTAAGCCATAAGCACAGGGGGGTGCAAAAGTCGCTTAACTCAAAAAAAAAATGAATATCTCCTTTATAGCTCAAGCAAATGAGCGGATTTTTTTATCGATGATGGAGACATGTTCAAGCTTTATATTGATAAAGA